AGTAAGTCTGATTCCCTGTAAGGACTTCTCTGTTGACACCCACCCCTTGGCGCTCATATTAGTCATATGACCTTATGCAGTTGTGAAACCGTCTACTATTTTTTAAAAAAGAAAAAAAAAGAAAACTCTTCGCTTTCAGCAAGTCAAGTACGACGACTAGTCTTTTGAACAGCGACTTGGACGGCGTGATATAAGTCCTCACAACAAACAAACCGCATAGGTCAGTTCTGTAAGTCATACTTTTACAAAGGACAGAAGAATAAACTTCCTCATGTCAATGAGAGAGTTCTCATGTCAGGATTAAATGGTCTGCATTCGCCTACAAACAAACACACACACACACACACACACACACATGAAAAAATACTATTCATCATTTATTTCATAGTATTTCTGTTGTCACTGAGGCTTAAGACAGTTATTAAGACACGAGAGTCAGGTATTAACCAGATGTGCACCATACATACACCAGACATGTACCAGAAGTTCACCATATACACCAGACATCTATCTGATGTTCACCATACATACACCAGACATCTTTCTGATGTGCACCATATATACACCAGACTTTGTATCTGATGTGCACCATATACACACCAGACATCTATCTGATGTTCACCATATACACACCAGACATCTATCTGAAGTGCACCATATATACACCAGACTTTGTATCCGATGTGCACCATATACACACCAGACATCTATCTGATGTTCACCATATACACACCAGACATCTATCTGATGTTCACCATATACACACCAGACATCTATCTGATTTTCACCATGTACACACCAGACATCTATCTGAAGTGCACCATACATACACCAGACATATATATGATGTGCACCATACATACACCAGACATCTATCTGAAGTGCACCATACATACACCAGACATATATATGATGTGCACCATACATACACCAGACATCTATCTGATGTGCACCATACATACACCAGACATCTATCTGATGTGCACCATACATACACCAGACATGTACCTGATGGGCAGCAGGTATGTACCAGAGGCACACTGCCACTCTAGAAGACAATGACAGACAACAGGTTGTACTTTTTTTTTCAGACACCTTACGAAATTTCAAAAGACGAAAGGAAAAGCTATGGGGTGGATCATCTGAGACTCCGAAAGAACAGACAGGAGTTTAGAAGTACTGGGAAGGGAGAAAGTGGGACAGTAGACAACAGTTATGATGACAATGCTGTTGCATCAAACAGCAGCTGCAAGAAGCAGACTCATATACAGAGACGTCTCCAAGATCAAGCGTACAAAGGCTAAATTAAACCTATAGGAACATCGAATGTAAGGACCACGCTTGAGTTAGGAAACTAGATCTACTTATTTATTTAGAAGAAATGGAGCCACATCAGATCAGAATAATAAATAATAGGCTAGAGTGATACCAGATGAAAGAAAAAGAGGTAACTATATTATTATTTATAGTGGTCATGAAAAAGAAAGCTCAAATGAAGTTGGGCTAGTACTACACAATCGCCTCACAAACAGAATGAAAGGCTATAACACATTCAGTGATCGCATAGCCCTTTCAGACTAAATACAAAACTAGTTCCCTTGAATATCATTTGAGTATGAGCGCTTACCTCACAAAGTATAGGAATGTAGAGAAGGATCAGGTGTCTTGAAAAAGTTTCCAGAGGTGAGATTGTTTTAATGTAGGCCTGCGTGTTTTTACGCCCCTTCTGAGAAGAAACAAGGCAAAACAGCTGGAAAAAGAAACTGATCATCATTCTAAATAGAAAGAGGGGAAAAACTAGAAGAGGAACATTCAGATTGTCAAGCACGTTACCAATAAAACAGGCACTACAGAAATGTTTTGTTCTGTAAATAGTGACAGAGGAGATAAGAAACAACTACCAAAAGTCTTCATCACATATTATTATAGATAACACATACAGCAAAGTTTTCAATAGTGTCATCCACCATCAACTATTGGAAACAATGCTACAGATGGGTTTCCCCTAGAAACCTCTTCTCATTTTTACCCAAACTCTATGAAACTCAAAAAGCAAGTACAAGAAGAAAAGGGGAACACTTCAGATATATTTTGATACAAAAGAATGAGTGAGACAAGTCTGTAATCCTCTCATTCCATCTTTTCAATATCTGCACAGAACAGGTCATGATAATATCAGACATAGATGACATGGGTGGCAAAATTGAAGGCAGAAACAACACAAACCGAAGCCATGCTAACGACACAGCTCTTCCAGCTGACAACACCATGAGCATGAGAGGGTTCTCACAGCATTGACAAAGCTGGTAATAAGGCAGGACTGAAACTAAATGCCAACAAAGACAAAGGTAATGCACATTACTGAGTTAAGAAGTCAAAGCATCCAACAGGATAAAAACAAATGGAACAAATGTGGACAACATAACAGACTTCAAATATTTTGGCTCATGAAAACAGTTGATGGAATATGCACTAATGATGTAAAACTGAAGCTGAATGATGTTAAAAGGCATGGCGAAACAAAAGATGATACAACTAAACATGGGGAAAAACAGGCAGATACCCAAAGCACTAAAAATTAGAATTTTGAAGTCCTCTATGGGCACAGTAGTTCTGCACAGGATAGAGGCCTGGGCATTAAAAAAAGGAAGACAAAAACAGTGACCGTGCGGCAGAAACATACTTTTTTAGGAGACTGCTTCAATTCAAATGAACAGACAAAAGAACAAATGAAAGAGACCTGAAAGAACTTGATACACAGTGTATTATTATTATGCTTTCCAAAATCAGCAAAATAAGACTTGTAACTTGGTCAAGCAAATAGAAACATAAAAGCAGACCTGATGACACCAGGACTGTAGGCCAAAGTAGAGGCAAAGACAAATAAGGGAAGATCTCCTACACTGTACAATGAAAACATAAAATCTCAGACATGTACAAATAGATGTTACACATAAGACATGAGCCATAGGACATACATCAAACACACATCAGATATGTATTACGAGATGTGCACCTGGCTTATTTGGGTTTTGGTTGATAGGCTGCATAGCCAGGTGCATACAAAGATACAGCAGGCCTTTAACGCTTAGTTGACTCTTAGTTTACAGGAGGCTACTCCACCTTTGTAAGCAGCCAACTTTGTCATCAAATTTTCAGCATCCAACACTTCCCTATAATATAACTCCGAGCCTGTCTAACCTTTTTGTACAAAAGAAGGACCAAATAGATTAGCCATGAATGCTGCATGCAGTAAACATACAGCTTGATTATAAATAAATCAAATGAATTTGCTGGGGTTACATGTACAAAGACTGGCACGCCGTACACTAAGAGTTACTAAGCAAGAGATCTGATCTACAGGGTGTCTAAAAAAAAAAGGCCCCACTTAATGTACAATAACTTGGTCATCCAAGCATTAATTTTATCAAAATTTCGAGAAAAAAAAATAAAATTCAACTATGAAGACATCAAGTTTGTGAATATAATTAAGAAAATCCACCAACACCTTCCAGAAATATAAAGTTTTTAAAATTTTGACCAAAATTAAGTGAATAAAAATTTCACTTCTTAAAAGCGTTAAGCTACAGGTGCATGGTCGACCCATTCTGGTTTCAGGACAAGGACGGTAAAACTACAACAGTCACATCAGATGGATTTGATATTTGATATTAATACCAGATTTATTCTTGATGTGCACCATACTGAGAAAGTTCCATAGAGGTTTGGGAAGGAGAAGATGTTATAGAAGACTGGTTCCAGTGGAGTGCAACCACACCTCAAATGCCAAGAGTGGCCCTTTTTTTCTTATTGACAAATATAATATCCTCTCGGGTGAATTTTATTTCCTAAACGTTTAAATGGGTCCTCCTTTTCTTTAAGACACCCGGTAATACACATCGTATGTGCACAAGACATACTAAATATGCACCACACAATGTATCATATTAATGTTCAACATACATGCATCACACAATGATTGGTGGGTCAACTATCCGATTCGTATCATACATGCACCAAAATTACATGTACAACAAGATGAGTACCATTCATACATCAGACATGAATCATAGATGCCACAAGGCATCGACATAGTATACATAATGTGTAATGTAGTTATTAAAAAGTGTAGGTTAATTCAGGCAGGTTATACGAAACTAGATGAACTGTGGGCCATACATGAACAAGACGTACCAGAGGAGCTTTAATAAATTATGAGCACGAGAGTGTATGAGTAAACAAGTTGCTATAGAAAGCACCCAGATATTTGAGAAAATAGAGAGAGAGAGAGAGAGAGAGAGAGAGAGAGAGAGAGAGAGAGAGAGAGAAAAAGAGAGGATTATAATAGAGTCATGGAAGGCAGGTTTGAGCAACTCGCTCTAAAAGTCATGAGATGACGATTGATTCAAAGTTTTTATCAATACTTCAAGTCTAAAATTTAGCCTAAGCAATCTGGCGGCAACCAAGAAGTCTGTGGCTTAGTCTATCAACGGGCCAATACTTTGTCAATGGCTTGCGTTGTCTATATAAAGATTGATTCTTCTAGATCGTTTACCTGCCTGCATTTCCCTAACACTTGCTTCATACTATGGGCTTGAAAGTTATCATTCTTCAAGGCATATATTATGAAACTTTCGACTGACCTTCCAGTTGTAAAGCTACACTGTTACAAATATTATAACACATGTTTATCATACAGACCAGATTTATTCTTGATGTGCACCAGGCATTCAAAATACAATGGCCAAACGTAGATCTACTCCGGATACACATCGGATGAACATCAGACATTTGCCACCTATTTTATTGTGAAGCGCCTAGAGCCACAGGGAATGGGTACGGTAGAGATGTGTTCTCCTTCTTATTATTATTATTATTATCAATATTATTAATATCAAAATTATTGTAATTACCGGGTACTTTTATTATTATTATTTTTATTATTATTATTATTATTTTCATTGCTATTATTAATAATCATTATTATTATTATAACTAAATTTTTATTACAAGTATTATTATGTTTTAGATGCCCCAGATATGGCTCTGGTGAGCCTAAAACTGCAAACATAAACCTAACACTTGTCTTACGGTGACATCAGATGTGCCTCCAGTACCTTCAGAGTGAGCAGCTAGATATATTTTAAAGCTTTAAACAAATTTACAACCAGCACAGTTTTTCCATATGCACACAAGTTAAGCACCTACAACATAATCCTATTGTCCACATAGTGAGCCTAACGTCTGTGGCACTGGTAGCACAGGTGCTGCTTGCCGATCATGACAGCCATCCAGTGGGAGTCCAGTAGTGTACGGGGCAGCTTGTCCCACAGCAGCATGTGCTCCTCACATGAGCGTGGGTCCCATGTCAGAACCAGAACCTCTTCATGAAATTTAGGAGCTGCCAGCGGAAGAAGATAGAATTTGCCATGATGGTGCACCACGCGGAAATGCCTATGGTCCACTGAACGTAGGATGTGAACGATGACAGGATTTTCATCGCTGGACAGGGTCACAACATTCCCATTGGGGCTGAAAATATAGATAGTGTCATCCAAACTGACAGCCTGGCTTCCCATGGTGATCGCAGGCACAGCCCCTAAAAGACATGAGCTGTTGGTCTTGATGTTGTAGCTGATCAAAACACTGGACTTACTCACAAGTTCATTATCCAGATAGTCGTAGAGGTAAGAACTTCCTCCAAACATGTAGATCACATCTCCACATGCTGCTGCAGACATTTTGCCCGAAGAATGGGCTATCTCTCCGACCACACAGATTTCGTCAGTGACTGGGTCGTACCTCTCAACGCCAGTGGGGTTGACGTTTCCCAGTTTGCTGTACCCACCAAGGATATAGATATACTGGTTGACAGAGACCATAACATGGAAGAAACGAGGTTCCAGCAAGTCATGACAGTTTTCCCAACGGTTCTGCTCTGTCAGAAACTTGACCATTCTGTTGGGTTGATGGTATCCCCCAGACACATATAACTCCCCACGGTGCACACACGCTGCTTTAGAGTTGGAGAAATATGGGAATTTAGCCAGGAAGTAGAGTTTCTTGGAGTACAGCGTGAAACAGCATACTTCTTGACGACGTCCATCCACCATCACCAATGCGTCTTCTTTCCTGTGTTTAAATGCGTTCGGATGGATAGTTACATCAGGCACTGGGGAATTTTGATTAGCTTTAAGCGCTTTCTCAATGAACTCTTGGCACGCTTTACAGTTGCGGAGGACAGAGGAGTGCTGGGCAATGTTGTGGACAGAAGTTGAGTCCATGAAGGGAAATCGCAGGTATGGCAAAATGTCAAGCGCTGTCTTTTTCCCACGGTCTACGTCATGATCAAGCCAAAGTACTACAGCATCCAATACCAGCTCTTCCTTCTCAAAATTCAAACCATCCGCATCAATGTACTTGATCAGTTCATCTTTGGACAACTCCAGGAACTCTTTGGTATTTTTGAGTTGAGGAAAATATTCTAAGATACACCAGAAGGAGTGCAGCTCCAGGTAAGAACAGTTGTAGATCAGAGCCAGGTTCCAATAGAGCAGACAATTGTGCAATGACAAATCACGGCTCACAAACTTCTCACATATTAGCTGTAATGCTTGGATCTGGTACATGGAGGAGATCTGAAGAACTTCTATCACACACTCTTGGGATAGCTCAATCTCTCCTGCATAAAGAAAATCCAACACTTTTTCAAAATGGCTTGGGTTAATACCTTTCAGCGTAACAATTCCATCATAACTTTCTCTCATCCCTGAGCTAAACATGGCGCTGAAGTAGGGAGACATGGCGGCCAAGACAGTCCGGTGGCATGGGAACCTGGTATCCCCCACCACAAGCACAGTGTCTGTGTGCTCCGAGGACGCTTTCAGCTTTGACAGCCCTCGACACAAGTATTGATGATGGATGCTTTTGTGCGCTGCAGAATCCATTTTTCTTTTCTTATTAAAAAATCCACATCAAATCTGCTTCTGTTGAGCCTGTGAAAAAATAATCATAAATCCTTCAGATTTTTGTTATTACGTCGGTTGAGAGTTAAGCACATCTGTTGATTAATTAAAATGAGAAGTCCCAACAAATAAGGAAAATGGAAAGGATAGCCTTTTTTAGCTATTAAGAATGACATATTTATCAGTACATACATGTGCTAGCAATAGTGATGTGGGCACAGAAATTTTCCAAATATTTCAATTATCTTCCATTGAATTTATCACAACTTTGAAAAATACACTGCTTAAAATAATTTAATAAGAACACATTAAATTGGAGATAAAGACAAAAAAGACCAAACAATGACTTCATATTAAAAATTCAATGCAAAAGAAGCCAACAATAGGGAAAAAAATGGTTTACGACAGCTTTAGTTGCAGTTTGAGTCTTACGAGACTTCCACCACTAATTAAGTCATACAAGTGTGGAAGATTACAGTTGATATGGAATCCTGTTATAGCGAGAGGGAGGGGACTGGTGCAAAATGTCAGAAATAGAAGGGTTCTCATTATAAGGGATCCAGTAATAAATTCAAGGGAAATAATAAAGTAGGCCTAATCTATGAGTTTGGTGTTCTGTTTATTTCTTTTGGTTATCTCACGTGATGAGGATTTTGTTTAAAATTACCTCTAGATCTTACTTGATCAAAAATCCAATCGGGTTTCTTTCTCTAGCACTAGTGATGTTGACAGCTCGGTGTTGGCGATCAGAAAATGGTATAAGAACGTATAGACTCAAGGCTAACTTGCCCGCTGAGTTGTCCCCCACCCCACCACACCCTGTGGTGTGTTCCGTCTGCTTGCGCACAATGGGAACATACCACACTCCGCCCACGTCACACATTTGCTCTATCACAGCATTGTGACCTCTCCATCCCCGCATCGGAGAAGTGAGAGGATGGTAGGCCTAGATAATCTAGACTAGGCTGGGCTAGGCCTATCAAGCGATGCGTTCTGCTTGTCTGCGCATGCCACAGCCTGCCCACTCATTCGCTCCGGCCTTCATTGTTGGCACACGTGGGCTCTCCCATTCTTTGTTTTGCTAGATCACCAACAAGTTTCTCAATTGGCGAGCTTTACATTATGTATAAATTCAATGGCCTATGCACTGTGCACATCAGCAACAATATTCCGCTACAACAGACTCGCGTGTTTGTCTGATTGCGCTATAGCAGTATTTTATTTACAAAGATAAACAAGGGGAAAAAAACGGGATCTAGAATAGTGTCTTTATAACAGATCTCTCGTTATTTCAGGACTCGTTATAAGTGGACCAGAGAGTAATATACAAAGCACAGAAAGGGAGAGATATAGACAACATGCATGTTTGATATGAAAAAAGGAGCAAACCACACCAGAGCATCCGCCAACCACCTACATTTAAAACAGAAGGAGTCAGAGAAGGGACGAGTTGAAAATCGCATCTGATCTCCTAAAATGACATGTTGACGCAAATATGTACATAGCTTCTCATAGCCAGTGTATAGTGATCAGCACTAAAGCTTTTGTTGCTCTTAACAGTAACCATCTTGCACATAGCCTCTCCAACACTATGTGTCCTTAGCTACGCCTTCCTGTGGTGACCCTGTTTTCACAGAGCTAGCAAAAGGTGCGACCGGGTGACAGGCTGTATAAGCCAATGTGGAGGGGTTGGATGGGAACAGTTAAGGTGCTGAGGGCAGAACCCACAAGTGTGTGGTAGCCCCTATGCCTCACACCAGCCCATCCCCACCTTCCCATGAGTGGCCCTTCTTTATCTTTTATTATCCTCTATTATAACCTACACACCCCCCCCCACCCCCCGTAATAGGCACAAGACATGCTAATGTCAGTGCTGCAGTACTTCTTAGTCATCAATATGTAGGTTATAAGTCAATGCAGCATGGACTGAACCCCTTGTTCGATTTTCGCTGTTTTAATTGAGTTTTGCAGCTCAAAGCGTGTCTAGACATTACTTTTAAAATTTTAATGTACAATTCAGTATGATGACAACGGACCGCCAGACACATATTTAACAATCACAATTGATGGAAATTGTGAAGCCTAATGAAGTACTTATTTCTATGCCTGAAGTATAACAACATATTTAGACTTAGTTATATATAATATAATTTAGTATCAATAGGCCTACTAGTAAAGTTTTAAAGACTCCATACCAAAATGCAAGTTTGAAAGTAATTGCACTGCTGTTTTCTGGCAACATATATTGAAATGCACAAAAAGCACCAAAATAATTACATTTCATCATTTTTACATAATTCATACATAAAACAAAAACCTTTTGCTCGTGTTGATGCTGCAGCAAATTAACAATAATATACATCATTTAACAAACAGATAAAAATATCTTTACAATAAAGGAGCATATAACATAATACCACAAATAACAAACATGATCTAGTGAAATGCCCAGGTTCTGCAACAGGTTCACACTCTGAATTGCCTCTAAACTATAATATAATGTGAATCAGATAAATTAAAATTTCTCAGCAAATAGAGTAGACCTAAGAAATTTCTCCTTCCTAATAGTTATTCAGTTGCAGATATAGAATCTCTATATTTGTGTCACAACATGGTAGAATCAGGCGATCGTCAATTTTTGGGCATGAGGAGTTATTGGTATCATCTAGAAGCTTATCATTAGTCTTGTTTTCAAAGAAAAAAAATACCAACCTATCTTGAATGGAAGTCGAGATTTTTGCAATTGAATGAGGTGGGGTCTCCTGGTTTCAGAGGCAAAATTAGTGAGAAAATGTCAGCCAAAGTTTGGTAGCTTCAACAGCTTGAGAGTCCCTTAAAACTGAAAAATTATATATTTTGTGCCTATAACCAACATTTTTCAGTAAAAGTCACAAGCAAATTATGTGTTTTCACATGGACATAAAATGTGTTGAGCTAAAAAACGAACATTTCATAAAAATTGCCAATCTGGCGGAAAAATGCTTTCTTCTTCGATTTCATTATTTTGACATGTTCCTGATTTCACCACGATGCCTCACATTCTTGTCCAGCTCTAACATTTAAGACACAGGTGGTCTTCTAGTGCAAAAGTGACCAAATTGAGTACTAAGGCCCATGCCAGATCCGGCCTATGAGTCACATTGTTGGCTATGCCTTTTTTTTGTTGTTGGTGTATTTGTTTTGATAAAAATAAATCAATAGCTTGGCATTTTATCTTTATTTAGTTCATTATTGCAAAACAAAATTTATATTATAATCAGGCCCCTGTTCGGCATTCTCTCAGAGTTATAATCAAAAACCAGTCATTTCATCACATGGTCATCTCATCACACCCCAATTATGTGTGACGAAATGACTTCGTTTGTCACTCCAGAATTGTTATGCTAGTAGTAGAGTTTTAGAGGATCAGCACCAGCAGTCTTTGTTCCAAATCACCAATTCAAGCACGTAATCGTTGGGCCGTGCCCTCTTGTTTTTAAGTAATTTTAGCCAGCCTAAAACCGCCCCCCCCCCATCAATAAAAACAACTCAACAAAACTGACCCAGTTATGAACGATGTAGCTGTTCAGGTAGGCATGGCAACTCTCACACGCACACCACCCAAACCCCCCCCCCCAACAAAAAAATCGTGATTTACCTTTGCCATGACAATGCGCGTTTGATGTTTGCAAGTGTGTGACAAAATTACGGCCTCCATTCAACCTTGTGGATTTGGGATGTGAAGAGATGACTGTGATGTCTTGACTACACTGGTGAGACGAAATGACTGGTACTCAACCACCGTTATTTGATAAAAGGCAGCCGGTATTTTCATGACATGTCATGGACATAAAATGTTTGCGCTTTTTCATGACCTGTTGTGGAAAAAAAGCTTGGCGATGTCTTCGACAAGTCGTGAAAACGTGCCTAGCTATATTATGCCCGCTCTTACCACAGGGGTCTAGGCCTATTAGCTAAAATACAATTTTTTTAGGTAGATCTAGCACTAGTTTCCGATTTTGGACCTGTTCTACCGCCATTCCGATTAAGGTGTCAAAAATACCGGATTTGCGATGGGTGCCGAGAGTGCTTTCAACTTTCCCCTGCGAAACCCGTAGCCTCCATCCCGAAATTCTGTACTTGCTGCTTCATATGCTGCACTGTGTGTTGTTGTTTTTGTAAGAGAGAGAGGGGGAGGGGGGGCACTTGCCTTTCTAGCTTCTTGGACTGTCAGTCTAGAATCTAACCCTCAGCAGTAAGTTGCAGGCCTATTTGCACACACTTTTTTTTTTTTTAAAAGTTTAAAAAAATGTGCATGTTTGTCTCAGTAGGCTTGAGTAGGCCTAGATTCTAGGTCTGGCCAATGCCAGCAATCGTTCGAACCGCCACTTAGCCAGAGTGAGAGGGGTTTCTGAAAGTAAGGCGTAAGCCTTACTAAGGTGGACTCAAGATCTAGCCTTGAATGAAAATGTCAAGCTATATAATAATATGTTTTCAACCCTCTAAATTGATGTTACAAATAAAATATACCACCAGGAAACTATAAAATCAAGACTTAATGCAGTGTCTTTGATGTGTCTCTGCTCATGCTGTCGTAGCTTCCATTGTATTTATAAATCAAGAACAGGTTGAAGTACTGCCACTCCTTTGGGTAGTGTTTCGACTCGTCTTTGATTTTCTCATTCTAGGCGGTGACTGATTTGGAGGATTTTTTTCTGAAAACATACTTTGTAGGTTACAGTAGTATAAATCCTAAATTCTTCCTCAAACTCATGATACAATTTTAAAATTTGTCCCACTTCGAAGGGATGGTGATTTGCATCCGCAATTCTTAGGGAGGGTGAGAGAGAGAGAGAAAAGCATGGCCAGAAGGACAGAGAGTCTACTATTTATATATGTTCTGTGCAATGTACCGATTGGCGCAATCTTATGCGCTGCATGTTTTAACGATCGTATGATTGGGCGGCAATCTTAAGATTGCGCTGCGCATTTTAACTATCGTATATTTATATCATTCTCGTGAGCTCTTCAGTTTTATATTTTAATTTTAA